ATTCTACATTTATTTTATTCTACATTTATTTCATACTACAAGTATTTCATTCTTACATTTCATTTCAAAACTCAATACACATGGCTTATATCACCTACATTCTCATCATACATCTCATTTCAACTCATTACTCATTGCTTATATCACCTACATATATATTGGGGCTTGGTTAATCAACTCCCCAAAATTGGAGAGTCGACTCCCAAACCCCGAAACCCCCAAAATTAGGGAGTCGATCCCCCAAAACCGTCGACCGGTTTGGGAGTCGACTCCCTAAGAATTTAATAAAAAAAAAATAAAAAACCCCGGTTGGTTTGGGAGTCAATCCTCCCAAACCGACCAGGGTTTGGGGGTTGATAAACCAAATCAACCCCCACCCCACGGCAGCGGCCGGGAGGCATCCTCCCGGTGTGGTAAATAATACTGTGTTTCTACGCAGAAAAATATAAAAATTTATTGTTATCTCTTTATATATTATATATATGGTAAAAGTAACATCAGAAATGGATTTCTCAGGTAAAATTAACCCTAGTCACCCACTACAACTACCCCCATATCTCTCATACTTTAGAAGTTACACAGATTTCAACCTGTCATGGGATATCTTTTGGATTCTTTACTCTCAGTGTGGCTTGTTTTGAATACTGGATGCATATTGAATATTGAATTCCTTTGTGTTGTATTGAATTCCTTTATTGGCTCATAGTGCATATTGAATTCCTTTGTAGTACACATGCATTCCTTTGTAGTAGGTCCTTGTAGGCTAGCCAAATTCCCTCAAGGCAGTGCTCTCACCAGCCAAATTCCCTCACCTGCATGTATTAGACCAGCTAAATTCCCTCATTGGATCTTCAGGCCAGCTAAAATGCCTCAAAAGCCTGTACCCTGGGGCTAAAATCCCTCACATTTGTCTATATAAGGAGGCCTCTGCCTGCCAGTTGTTCCCTCCATCATCCCACCAGAGGACCAGATCATCTCAACCCACATTACAGATTATATACAAGTGACAGCCATACAACACATTATATTGAAATACAACCATAACACTTTCATCATCATAACAAGTGCCAAGTGCCATAACCTACCTCACATACCATTACTGGTTGAAGCATAGCGCTCCTCAGAGCTCCGCGCATTGGTTTTAAAGCTTTGAACAACAGCTTCATCAATATAATCATCACTCATTTATAACTTCAGACACTTATAAACATCACTCGGAAGCTTCATCTTGAACTATCCTCTATCACGATAAATATAACTGCCAAGCTAAGCTTGGTGGTCTTGTTGTTCTGATAGCATAGAAGGGCAGAGCTTGCAACTCCATCATCCCCTTCTCCATTCAGCAAAAGGGTTTCACAACCACTTTTGAGTCTTACAAGGGAGTCCCCAACGTGATAGGATAAACTTCCGATTGACATCGTGTGACCAATTTTAAAAGAAACAAGAAGATAATCAAGAAGACATCGACAGAGGATCGTTACTTTAAGCGGAAAACGGAACAAATTCAACAAACAAATTTGCGACTACTCAGCGGCATATTCAGTTATTCTGTTGATCAACTAGTCAAACTTCAATAAACAATCCAACGACACAAACAACGAACCTCTGAAAAGAAATTGAACCCATCCACTGAAACGAGTATCTTGAAGAAGGCAGCCAGTTATTGACCAGCAGAAGGAAGACCACCGAAGGATCTGGATAACTAGGATACTGTTTGAAAAGAACTCCGGAACTATTTGAAGAAAGCAGCTGCTTATTGACCAAAAGAAGGAAGACCACCGAAGGATTTGGATGAGTAGATTCTGTGAAAGAAGAAATTCCCAGTGTTAACTGATTTATTTATTTGAAGAAAACCATAAGCTTGCCCTGGTAAAGAGACCAGAGACCATAGTATTATTTGTTTCTTTTTCAGAGCAAACGTTTGTTTAGGTATCAAAGGAGCGTCAAGTAAGGGAAACTAGGAAAATCAATCAAAATCAACATGAGTCTACCGTTCAGTACACCAGATTTGGAAGACGGATTTGCACCGTCAACCCCTTTTTAGGAACCGATTTTTTGATCAACCTTTAAGATCATCTTCAGCTTTCAATTTAAATTCGGAATTACAATGCCACTTGTATACCAAAAGTCAATGGCCAACTCAAATCCTTGCGGAACCTAGCCTCTTCTATGATGCAAATCATTTTATGACGTTTCATAAGCGATTTTGTGGACAAATTTTGTGGATGGAAGAATTAACGATGGCGTACCAAACAGCTGGACGGATTGACGTAAATGGAATAAGATCAGAGGATGGTGTTGAAGATTAGACTATTTGTTATGAATGAAGGAATGTAAAATGGTGTTAGAAAAAATGAAAAATTGATGATGATCAAAACCTGGTGGGAATTAAAGTTGTAAAAATCAAAGCCTCCTAAGCATGAGGAAAAACTGCATCAACAAACACTCACTTTAAAAGCCACATTCATTTAAATCTGATAAAAATGAGAACATTTAGTTTAATTAGTTGTTATATAAGACACACCAATTGGAAGAAGAAGTCTGAAGAACCTTGGATTTCAAAAACTCTCAATCTGTACTAAACAAGAAGAATACTCAAGAAATCTGGACCTTGAAAGCAAATAATCAACCTCAGGGAAAATAAATTGAAGGAGTATCAAATAAATTTTAAATTGTCTCTTAATTATTTTGAAAAGTTGGGGGGGGAGCTCACATTCCTTTAAAAAGTCACTCATTTAAACCCTCTCCCTCCGGCCTAGTTCTGATATACCCTTGATTAATCAGTAGAGGGCTTACTTCAATTCTACAAAATCCATAAAATAGCACAAATTAATCAGCTAAATCATCAACTTACAGAATAAAAACACCACTAGTAGACATACATTTTTAAAGTTGGGGAAGGAAAGTTCCATACTTCACTCACATTATTAATGTCCCCAATTTACCCCATCTCATTATCCTTAAGTTTCTTTTAGCAAAAGACACCTTTACATACTTTTTATCTTATATCCACATTTTATTTTCATACTCTTGAAAAATTTCTATATCAGTTTCTTTGGGTTTCTCCATTATCTCAAAGTTTTATTTCTGGATTGAATTTCTATATTAGTTTTTTTATTATCTCAAAGTATTTTCTGGATTGAACTTCTATATCATTTTCTTATCTCAAAGTATTTTCTGGATTGAACTTCTATATCATTTTCTTATCATCTCAAAGTGTTTTCTGAATTGGAATACCATATAAGTTTTTTTATTACCTCAAAGTCATTTCTGGATTGAAATTCTCTCGTAGTTTCTCTGTTATCTAAATAGTCATTTCTGGATTGGATTTCTCTATCAGTTTCTTATCATCTCAAACTATTTCTGGACTGATTTTTTTTTTCCTCTTTAAATGAGTCAATCTTCTTAATCACTTCCCTATCATTCATAAAATTTTGAGGTGAAGGTTGAGGAAAACTCAAAAGTTGGGGGAGGATACTTTATGCTTAGTCTTGACTCACATTTTCATTATCTTCAATTTTTTTCTCTTTTTTATTTCTCTGCTCAATTTCTTTCTTTCTTTCTTTCTTTCTTTCTTTCTTTCTTTCTTTTTTTTTTTTTTTTTCTCTAAGGTAGTCAATCAATTACTATTCTTCAATCACTTCCTATTCTGCAATCACTTTACCCTAGACTCACTTTAAAATCCACTCTTGAAGGTTGAGGACAACCTCATAAGTTGGGGGAGGGGTACATATCTTGGTCTCTTATTTTTTCATTTCAAAGTTTCTACATATTTTTTTTATCTGTTTTCATCAATCAAGCAGCTCTAGGAGGGCACTGGCTTGATCGCGATTCAACTCCAAAGGCTAGGATTCTTTGGAACCAATAGCGATTAGTTCAACAATAGAAACAGCAAGCTTTTGGAGGGATCGACATAAATACTGTAGAAATCAATCAACTATTCGCGAATTGATGACGAGGATGTATCAACAACGATGACTAGTACAACACGATAGGATTGGATATGATTTACCTACTCGAGGATGGCCCAGCTTGATGGAAACAAGCAAAGAGCTATGTCAACCAATCGCAAATGAAGTCGCGAAGGACTGGGAGTACTTTAGACTGGATGCGATTCGATCAAACCCTCTAGTTTTGTCTTGAACCATGGTCTAGCTCTAGAACGACTGCTTGTTTATCTATAAGACAACAGTAAGAAAGAACCAGGCGCGATCAAGGGCTTTTGATGCGATAGGAGGGTGTCGACTTCCACTACCTCTAGGCTTGCTTGGCCAGATGAACTATCTTTAGGATGTTATTCGACTGATTACTCATAAAGAAGGATTTCAGGGCCGATAAGTTTGACTTTAGAAAATGAGAGCAACCAAAGATTGATTAAAAGAGAAGAGATCAATCGAGTGAAGAAAAGAAGGAGTGGAGTCTATGGCTGGGGAAGAAAGCTGATGAGGAGAGACTGAAAACCACAATACAATACCGGTATTTATAGACAAAACAATGGCTTTGGCGAAGGGTCTATCCAGGAAATATACAGCCATGATGGTTTCCAGCGACTCAGTGACATCGTGGGGTAGAGAGGACTAGCGCAAAGGATTTTTGTGGTATCGTTCGATCTATTTGGAGTGGGGTCAACCAATCAACCCAATGACAACAGCAATAAAAATCCTAGAGGACACTAATAGAAGGCAGGATCAAGGCCGGGTCAGTTCAAAGAACACGAAATCAATAGCAAGCAAGATCGAGCTAGAAGTAAGATGGATATTCAAATTAGAAGACGATGGAACACCTTACCTCTAGAGCTACGAGGGCACAAATTCGCCGAGGACGGAGCTAGTGGGGGCTAAAGAACGGATACAAGAAGGAAATCAGCTTACCTGTCACGATTGGATACACGTATTGGTCGATTTGTGACGGAAATGGGATCGAGATGCGGGGAAGATCAGATACGCATACCTGGGACATTGGCGGATCGGTCGAGTTGCTAGGTGAATTTAAGTCAAGGTTCAGCGGCAAGATTGAAGAAACGGAGTCGGTTGAGTATTTCCGAGCACTAGTGGTGTTTGAAGAACGGATACGGGTCCATGCCTGTTGTTTTCAGCCAAGAAGCTGTCAGATAGGATCAAACTGAACTAGAAGAAAAGAAGAAAACAAAGCAGCTCACCTGTCGAGATGGATACACGATGACAGGTCGTTCAAGTCATGCCAAAGTTGAATCCAAGATGGATCGACGGGTCGTTCGAGTTGTGGCGCAATCGGAATCAAGATAGAATGGCGGATCAGTCGAGTCGAATCAAATGCAAAGCCAAGATTAGGACTGATTGACCGAAAGGAGAAGGGAAGATACCCACGGAGAGAAGACACCCCCATTGCCAATTGGATCAGACCCTGTCACACCTGTGACAGGGCTAATACATCGTGACTACGGCGCAAACCATCAGAATGCCAAACCAACAGGAAATGCAAACGCAACGCTAGTCGAGTGGGACAAAGACACCATGCACAGGACAACATCAGGGTTCAATTATCACTCTGACCATTATTTGTGTCACACCCATTGCATCCCTGGATTAATGTTTTTCTTTCTCAGCAAGATTGTCAGAAACACCAATTATTTCCTAAGTTTTTTTCTCCAAAACTGTATGTACCACTACACAAAAATAAAAGCCATTTTTTCTGAGGACTCAAGTTCAATCCCATTACTTGATGAAAATAAAATAACATAACATAACATAAAACAAATACAACAAGCAAAGACATTTTTTTTCCTGCTGCAATCAGAACTTCACTGCTGGTCAAATCAAATTTCTTCTGGCCACTTTGACATCAATGTAACACCGCTCAAGCCATAAAATACACGCAAGGCGGGGCTCTTTCAATTTTTCTCTGTAAGATTAGCTCCAAAACACAGTCAAAATCAGAATTGACTGGGGACAGCCAATAAGTTGGGGGAGGATGTGGTAAATAATACTGTGTTTCTACGCAGAAAAATATAAAAATTTATTGTTATCTCTTTATATATTATATATATGGTAAAAGTAACATCAGAAATGGATTTCTCAGGTAAAATTAACCCTAGTCACCCACTACAACTACCCCCATATCTCTCATACTTTAGAAGTTACACAGATTTCAACCTGTCATGGGATATCTTTTGGATTCTTTACTCTCAGTGTGGCTTGTTTTGAATACTGGATGCATATTGAATATTGAATTCCTTTGTGTTGTATTGAATTCCTTTATTGGCTCATAGTGCATATTGAATTCCTTTGTAGTACACATGCATTCCTTTGTAGTAGGTCCTTGTAGGCTAGCCAAATTCCCTCAAGGCAGTGCTCTCACCAGCCAAATTCCCTCACCTGCATGTATTAGACCAGCTAAATTCCCTCATTGGATCTTCAGGCCAGCTAAAATGCCTCAAAAGCCTGTACCCTGGGGCTAAAATCCCTCACATTTGTCTATATAAGGAGGCCTCTGCCTGCCAGTTGTTCCCTCCATCATCCCACCAGAGGACCAGATCATCTCAACCCACATTACAGATTATATACAAGTGACAGCCATACAACACATTATATTGAAATACAACCATAACACTTTCATCATCATAACAAGTGCCAAGTGCCATAACCTACCTCACATACCATTACTGGTTGAAGCATAGCGCTCCCAGAGCTCCGCGCATTGGTTTTAAAGCTTTGAACAACAGCTTCATCAATATAATCATCACTCATTTATAACTTCAGACACTTATAAACATCACTCGGAAGCTTCATCTTGAACTATCCTCTATCACGATAAATATAACTGCCAAGCTAAGCTTGGTGGTCTTGTTGTTCTGATAGCATAGAAGGGCAGAGCTTGCAACTCCATCATCCCCTTCTCCATTCAGCAAAAGGGTTTCACAACCACTTTTGAGTCTTACACCGGCCGCGAGACCGCATTCTCAACGGCCAAGAGGGGAAACCCTCTCGGCCGTTGAGGGTATGTACACTCTCGACGCCAAGAGGGTTTCTCCTCTCGGCCGTCGAGGTGTACACTCTCAATGGCTGAGAGGAGAAACCCTCTCGGCCATTGAGGGTATGTACACTCTCGACGCCAAGAGGGTATGTACACTCTCGACACCGAGAGGAGAAACTCTCGGCCGTTGAGAGTGTATACTCTCGACGGCGAGGGGAAACCCTCTTGGGCGTCGAGAGGGGTACATACTCTCAACGGCCGAGGAGGGTTTTCCCCTCTTGGCCGTTGAGAATGCGGTCTCGCGGCCGGGGGGATGGCCGTGGGGTGGGGGTTGATTTGGTTTATCGACCCCCAAACCCTGGTCGGTTTGGGAGGATCGACTCCCGAACCAACCGGGGGTTTTTATTTTTTTTTTATTAAATTCTTAGGGAGTCGATTTATTTCAGTCTTTATTATCTCATTTCTTTTTGCACTACATATTATTTTTTATCACAAACAGAAGTTACTTCATATTTTCTCCTTTTCAACATGTTTATTTCACACTACGCATTTGTCAGCCACATTTATTTCATAACCAATTTTCTTTCAGATACAACTTATTTCATACCATCTTCTTACATCAGCTGATATTTTACCACTAGTACCTGATCAGAACCACCCACATGTATATAGAGAAGACTCTTTCCACTTACTTTGTTCCCCATGCTTGCATTAGAGAAGTAAACAGATAATTACTTAGCAGACATCACTTACTAGTAGTTACCAGAAGTAATTATTATTGATTTTCCCCCAGAAGATAAGAAATTGAACCCAGAAACCATTATCTCCCAGAGCCTCATCCTTACCAGAATCCCCCACATCCTCAATCTCTCAGCAGGTGACTTGTACAAGACATCAGTAATAAATCTCATACTAAGATTACCCACAGAAATAGCCACACCTTTTCTTTAATTCTTAGTGTAACTCTCTCCCAAGCCTTGAAAAGAGGGCAGCTTCATCGGCATCCAAGTCTTCAACTCACATTTACCCCTGTGTAGTTGTTCTTTTCCCCTCTAAGCTCTTTTCTTTAGCTTGAAAAGTTCCACAACGGTGCACACTCAAAAAACTGTTCAATTTTACACAAGAATCAGTGAAAGAAGTTGGCAGGTGCGCAATCCGTTAACAGACAGACATGCTGATTTAGTCAAAGAGGCTGAATCCTATACTTCATGGGACCATTCAGATTTTGCTATCATTATTGGCAATCATCCTCCTGAATCAAATCTCCTGTGAACAGTGGATTCCAGGGCAGTGATCTAAATCTGAACCTGAAAGGTCTCATAAAGGTCTTGATAGGAGATCAATGGTCTATGACACTGTTCAAAATTCTGAATGGAAGCTTTCTATCCAAGTATGAGGTGACTTTCATAGTGCTTAAACACTAGAAGATGCTCATTTGCTTTTTCTTCTGAAACCATCTAAGCAGCAAGAAGTTCACAATTCCCTTGTTCAATGTTAATCTTTTATGAAAGAAAAACTGGGGCTGAATTCTATCTATAATTGGAAAATGGCCTGGGCTGCAGTAGAACAGTGTTTCCCAAATCTAATGTGCATGTATAATTGATCATATAGGGAGGGGGGGGATGACAGCATCAGTTGTTTAGTACTGGAAAGGGATCAGGTATCAAAACATTTACTCTGAATGAGAAAGACATAATCCAGGATAATGAAGGGAAGCTTGTTTATATGAATCAGGAGAAGTAAAAATTTCACAAGAGAGAAGAAGCATCATTCAAAATTCCAGGCAGGATTTGCTAGGGATATTGGAAGAAAATCAAGAGTACTTCAAGTGCTGGAACAGTAATTCAAGTCCAGAAAACCATTCCATAGAATGGGATAAATAGATAAAATTCAAAATTTAAAAAGGGTCACTTGTATATACAAAAAGTGATATTTTAAGGTTTAAGTTTGTACAAAAGGAGCCTTTAAGAGTTATTGCAACAGTATTTCTATATATTTTCATTCCCGACAAAGAGGGCAATTAAGGAGTTTTTTCTCTTTTTTCTGCAGATCAAACCATGGTTTGATGCATGTTGGATGGAAACAGTGTCCACATTTTTTGACACAACTGATAGCTTCAAATTGAATATCTGGCTTGATATTATGTTTGAATCTCAGGAGTCCATCCTGATATTGAGAATTTGTTTTTAATTTGGGAGATTGAAATTCTGTTTGACAGATTGCACATTGACTCTGACTCTCAGCCACAAGGATAACTTTTGAAATTTTTTCAAGAGGTAGCTGATCTGAAGTTGAACTTTCTGAATCATCATTAAAACTCAAATGTGTTGGATCTTTGGGAGTCAGAACTTCTGGATTAGTCGTTGAACTTCCTGGATCAGTCTTGGAACTTGAAGCACCATGCACATAGTGAGGTTTTTTGAAAACTGTTATATCATCTTTGAGTATCTTCTTTGCTTTAGAAATTGAGAGGATGAGGTTGGGTTTCATTCTATGTGATAATCCTGAAGCGTACTTCTCGGGCATATATCCAACTGTTCTAGTTTTCTTTCTAAGATATTTTATCCCAGTGGCAAAAGCCAATCTTTTGAACCAGTCTTGTATCCTGCTAGAAAATGATTGAGATTGCCTGATTTGAACTGGATTGATTTGATGTTCATTCAAATAATCATTATAAGCTACTCTATAATCATAGAGCTCAGCATCTATATCAGTACTTGTTTGTGATAAATGGCTAGAAGTTGACTCTGAGCCATCAATTATTGAGTTTGTTTGATCAAGATGGTCTTCAATATGGATTCCACCTTCTATGCTGGAATTCATTTTGGACTCTGAGTAACCCAGTGCTACCAGAGCACCAACAATCTGAACAGAAATCAATTAAAAGGGCCAATTTTTAAAATTAGAAATTTGGGATTCATTCATATGGTCAGAATTCAGGCAGACTCAACTAGACTCATGTGTGAAATATTCATTTTTGTTCAAGTTTTAGTAACTCTTCCTGGATCAACAGTAAAAATAAAATCAATTTAACAACCCAAGTCAACAAGGACTGAAGAGCTCCACAATCACACCTATTGTCTTTGGATAGTGAGACAAGTATCATGTATTGTGTCAGATGACTGATCCCACCAAAACCGTATTTGATACACAAGATATTTGGCCGTATTGAAGAAAAAAGAAAAAAAACAAAGACATTTTTTTCCATTTGTAAATCCAAATCCGAGACAATGATTATTTTCACAAACTAAGAAAATACTGATACCGGTATCAGGCTCAAAATAAAGACAATACAATCCAATACAAATACATGTCTCGTATCTGTTGCACCGTTGCTGTTAAAATGTTTTTTTTTGCACAGCTTTATACCCTAAAATGTACAATTTGTCTGACAATTGAATTCTACTGGTCTCATGTCCTCCAAGTTTCTTTTTTATGTACAGTGCCTAGAAAGTGAAAAGTGGCTGCTTATGTTGGATTCCAGAGCTCCAAACCACAAATTTGAAATCCTGAGACTTAGTCAGGTGGTGCATAATAGGTCCCAAAACATGAATATGAAATAAGAAAAGCAAAAAATAAAGTTTCAAAATTTGTGAAAAATAAACAATAAAATTGTTTTTTTTTTCAAAAGCTTTGATATTCAGTTTGGGGGAGTGGGAGTGCTGAGAGAAAGAAATATTGGGAAATGAGAAGAATGATTATAAATGAAAATTTCGGAAAAACTGGTTTTCAGATGGCTTCAAACAGCTGTTGAGTGGGCCATTCACCAGCCCACATTGCAGCAAAGCACTAGAATTTACTGTTTTGGCTCCAGTCTGGACCACCAACCTGGAAGAACCTTTTTTGGTTCCAATTTTTTTCATTTATAATCATTCTTGCCATGTTCCATTCTTTCTTTCTCTCAGCACTCCCACTCCCCCAAAATTAATATCAAAGCTTTTGAAAAAAAAATAATTTGATTGTTTATTTTTCACAAATTTTGAAACTTTATTTTTTGCTTTCATTATTCCATATTCATTTTTTGGGAGCTATTATGCACCACCTGACCAAGTCTTATGACTTCAAGTTTGTGTTTCAGAGCACTGGAAACCAAAATAAGCAGTCACTTTTCACTGTCTACCCACTGTACAGTGTCCAAGTACAATTTTATTGTTTGATAGTTGTTGTGTTAGGATATTATACATGGAGTCATTCTAACTCACTGATGGATGAAAATGTGTACCAGACATGTTTCCATGCTACACCCTGATCAGAAAATTGTCAACATCTTCACCAATGTGTTCCAGTGGTCATAAATAGACAGACATTTTTCTCCAAAAAATATCTCCCAACCCCTTCACAAAATGATTGTTCCCTCAAACATCTTACTTATTTTCATTGCTTTGATAAATTTGGGGGGAAGTAAACCTGCACTAGCAAGTCTAACAAAATGCACACCAGAGAAGGCTGTGGGAAACGGGCTACTAGAATCTTACTTTGACTTGCCAGAATCACAGAACTCCAGAAAATTTGATTACTCCAAACCCAATGGTCATTCTGCAAGGATTGATTGGTCAAGATTCTTCAATTTTGGTCGGCCAAAGCCAGACAAACTGGAGAGGTTCAGGCCAATAATATCAAACAATCAATGTGAATATCTTGAGTGGCTTGCCCCAAATTTCTGTTCAACAAATTAAAATGATGATGCTTAATCAACTTGACTATTTTTTACAGTGGAGATTTCAGAGCTGAGACAAGGATGGCTGGAGATTAGAGCTTCAATTCAGGATTTCAAACGCAGGTGCAGCCCTGAGAATTATGAAATTTTTTACAAACTAAAGGATCTCCTACATTTCTTGAAGAGGCTGGCTCAGGTAAGGTTATATGGTCTGTATGGAGGTAAACCGTTAAGTATTTGGGTTTGGGCACAGACCAAGAGTGATCCAGTTGGTAACAAAAAGACACCAATGGGAGATATACAACTACAGTCTCCTCAGGAAATAGAAAGCTCTACAAAAGATAAAGTGGCACAGGAGGGGAATAAAATATCATCAGGAACTGATTCCAGTTTGCATGAGTTGTTAATTAAACAAGACATAGTGAAACAAGAACAGATTGAATTACATGGCGACTTACTTCTTGATGTCAGAAAGAAGGCTTCAAAAGAATTTCCTGAGTATTGGGATAATTTAGAAACAAAGCTGGTCACATTTCAAATTGATGATCAATATAAAGATTATAAAAACAGTGAGATGTATTTTTTTGTGAAGGCAATGCTTCTTTCAGCAGAGTATATTACAAAGTTGAAATTGATTCCACAAAGCTACATTGATAATATCAAAATTTACAAGCCAGCAAATCTTATTCCATTGATCAAGTTTTATGCCTCAACAGTGGTGCATGATTCTAAAAAGCATATGCAAAGTGATCATTGTAATTTTTATGCAGTGAAGCCCAATGAAATCAGTTGTCAAATTCATAGAAACTGTAGGCCCATCCAAAGAGCCATTGAAGGTATGGCTTCTTTTAGTTTTTTTTACTGATTTTTTATCAAGAAGATATTTTACTCACTAAATTTTATTCAAATGTAGAAAAACTTTCCATTGAAGATCAAAAGCTTGCTACTTACCAATTGAGTAAAGTTTTTGTTGATATAATGTTCTGCAATTAAAAAATTTGAATGAAAGATTGAGGAAAATTGGGGAAGGTTTTTGTTCAGAACACTTTTTTGATAATCTGAATATCTTGTCATCAATTTTGAGCAGTGATCAAAAGAACTATCAAGAGAAACAAGATTCTATTGGAGCTCATAAATTACACTATATTTGCAAAATAATTAAGGATGCTATTACCTACTTTGATAGCCCTCCAAAAGGCTCACTTGGAATTGTTGAGTCAATTGAGATTTACAGAATATTTTCCATTATTGATTTCATCAACAGTAAATATGAGCCATTAATATATTGGCTGAAGCCTGAAGGAATGAAGAATCTGGTCCTCAACAAGAAAATAAAATATATGATCATTTGGTAAAAGATTTGCACATAGGACCTCCTCGTGATATAGCAGGGTGAAATTAACTTGACAATTCAATACACTGACAGAAATTGAAGATGATGGAATTGACATAAACAAATGGATCCAAGATGTTGTAGAGCAGCTGATGAGGAAGAAAGATATATGATTCAATTACTTTCAAAAATATATTTATACATTATCATTCTTCTCTCAGAATTTCACTGTTCCCTGAATTTTCTTTCTGTCAGGAAATTTATTAACTGTTTCCTTGTTCATTCTATTTCACTCTCACATCACAATTTTGTTACTTTTTTCATAAGGCTCAGATATATCCCCATTTTTCTTGAAATATCAGAATTGAAATTCATTCATCCAACTCACAACTTCTGGTCCTGGCCTTCATTAATGTGCCAGCTGATAAAATAGAATGAATTCTTATAGTTCAATCTCAACAAGGAAGAGAAACAGATATCTTTTATTTTGAAAACACCAGAGGGCACATCAATAGATTGCTTTAAGTTAATACTTATATGAATCAGATGGTTTTATTATGAGGAAATTTAAAGAGTGATACTCACAATGAGCTCTGAAATCTTTGCAATACTCTATACTTTTCCAAGTTGTTTGCAAAGTGGACAGTAGGAGATGTGGCTGAATACCAAATCATTATTTGAAATTTTCATGGGATTCACATAAGATTTTTGGCAAATAGAACAGACACTTTCTTCTGGATCCAAGACTTTCCCCTTCTTGAGTGATGGCTGGTGATTTGAGCTTCCTTCAGCCATTATAGGTTGTTGATTGCTCAATTGATCCCCAAAAACTTCCTGTTTAATATATTTTCCCTTTTTATCACTACTATTCACATGACCACTACAACTGCTTCCAGTTTCAAATATCCCAGTCCCTGGAGTGCTCTGGGAAGGGCTTGGTTCACCTTCACTTGGCTTGACAATTATATCAGTATTTTCCAGCAACATTTTTGCTTCATCTAATGTTAGTATGTTGTTTTGAGGTCCTTGAGGATGACACTTGTACTCCTCAGGTGGGGGCACAAAGCCAAAGCCTTGTGTTTGTGAACTTTGTGGGTTGTGGGACCCTTTCATTGCGCTTTCAAGCCCCCTTTCAATCTCCGGCTGGAAATTTCGAAGAGCATGAAACACTTCGGACATGGATGGAGGCTCGCTAAATTCAAGCCTGATAGAAGCTTTTTTACCATCACCCAAGTTGAATGGCACGAACTGTACTCTGGAATCCGACAACTGGAATATAGGTTGCTCGAGGTCTGAAGACGGCTGATGAATCTCTGCTGGGCTTTCGTCAATCTCTCGTTTAGGGGTTCGCATCGGCGGCACAGGTATTGGGGCCGCTACCAAGAGGGTAGCAAAAAGCTGAGAGAAAAAGAAGGAAAAGAGACAGTTGACTGTCAGTTCATGGTTTCCCTTGATTTCTGCCCGAAATCAGCTGTCAATAATAACTTAACTAAACCTGAGAGAACGAGCTTCATGGTTAGCCAAGTACTTTCAGAAATTTGCAGTGAATTGTTTTGAATCTTTGGAGAAAAAAGGGAATATTACTCGTCAACCTTTGGCTGGGATTTGAAAAGCAGGTCAGGGATCAAGCTCCTCGAGTCCTCTCATGCCACCGGTTTCTCACCGCATAAGTAACTCGAAAAGTATACATCAGCTGGAGCATTTCAGAACCTCACACACGTTTCTCTACGCAGTCCGATGCTTTACGCTGTGCTGTGTCAATGAGGTTGCCATATCTCTCGCCGTAGTGAAGCTTGATTCCTATACTTTTGCCCGACGTGACTAGGTTTTTGCAGGAAATGTGTTGTACTGGATATATCTGTGCCTTGGAAAATGTATCTAAGGTGTTATCATTAGGATATGAAAATTGATGGTGGGAGAGGTGAACATCTTGGAGCTGAGGAGTGAAAGAAACAAGCAAACAAAAGGTCTGATATTGCGCAATACACTTTGAGTTTTTCGTGCAGTTCACACCTAACTGCCAACTGGTGATAATTTCTTTGACACATGCAAGCCTAGCTAGACCTGTGCGATTGAGGATTTTCTGTAAACATTTGAGGCATTTGACCGCAGACGATGCCGCAGGTCTTTCAGCAAAAACGCACAATCAGACACAATGCACTTCAATGAAATCAACCACGTAATGCTTCTAATGCTGGAGGACAACCGTGGATATGGGTTTACGTTTCAAAGGGCCGACAATGGGCTACAACGATTTGTTTACAACATCTGATGTGCAAAAACAAGAGAAACTTCATACTAGAGTTGCGAAGGAATCCATAAACATTCCAGTTGTATTGAAGTGTTTTTAATCATGATAGAGAGTTAGTCCAAATGAATGAAGATTTTTATTGGTGACATAGCAGGATTATGTATCCGAAAACTTCACTGGATGCTACCCATTCAACTGATGCGAGGGTAAATCCGGAATGCTTCTATAATGCTCATGAATCACTAAAGGTCAAGATCGACTTCAGAGCTAGTCGGATGGCGAAGGCCAAGACCAATTCAAATATCCAGAGCTTTTCAATGCATATTGTACTATAGCCTGAGCTGAGGAGATACTTGAAGCGTCCTTTGGGTTCTGGATTTCTTCGAGGACCTCTAAGGCCGCTTTGACTTCGTCAACAGACGAGAATCCGATCACGGTGTGGGGGAAGTACATGGAGTAGAGAAGGGAGATACGTTCGATGGACAGATGATGGGACGTTTGAATAGATTTGGCGACCTCCTTGATCACTAGGCGAAGAGCTTCGGGAGCTGGCTGCCAATCCGGAGGGCCTCGGGTGGTCAGTAAACCATTACCAAGTGGCGAGGCTGAGATGATTTGAACGACCCCAGCAGCTTGGAAGTAAGGAAGATAGCTATTTAGAGCACTGTTTTGGAGAGTTAGGCACGCATACGACATGACTAGATCCAACGGATAACCCAGTTGCGTAACGATCAGGTGTGACATTCGCAATAACGTTCCAAGCGGGTAACCTATTCAAAATTCCGCACTCTCCATCATATGAGCCTTCCTAACTTTCAACGGGAAATAATTCGAGTGGTAGCGCACCACTAATCCCTACCCTACGTATCAAACCTTCCTGCTTAAGCTGGAACAAAGTCTTGGCTGCAAGTACAACTGTGTCGTCTCCGGGGCCGTAGCTCTGGGCATATTTCTCAGTCTTGGGTGCGGGATCGAGTTGACCAGTGCTTTGACCATCGGAGGATATTCCATTAGGGCCGCCTTTATTGAAGCCATCCGGATCTTCTGCCACGTACTCGACATCATGAAGGTACACCGCATCCAAATAATCGGTACCCTGAAGATCAAGAAGAAGAGGAAGGGCAGTTCAGCATCAATTGATAGCATGTGACATGAGGGGATGAAACCTGTCTACCAGCAAGGCGCAGCTTTCTTTGACCGAGCGGATGATTCGTTCGGGCGAATAATCAAAATCTTTCGGGCCATATCTTCCGCACTTGGTCAAAAGATGATAGGAGCTACAAGAAAGAGAGAAAATATGTTGATACATATGCAAGAAAAATCAGGAAATCCCAAATCAATCAATCATCTGAGTATGTACCTTCATGCGAGTGAACGCACGGGTGTGCACCATAAAATAGTTAACTATTAGGCCAAAAACAAAACCAACCTTCGTGGAAATTCAGCCCTAAATTCGGGCTTCGAAATGATCTGGCCAATGATTGATTGGCTGTTACTGTGAGCAGTGCGAGAGCAGGACAAGCGGCGGACATAGAGTTAGCAGGCTAATATCTGGACACTCTACCCGAACCTGATGATCACTTGTATGCATGACATACCCGTAGTACGGTGCGGTGTCCACGGCATTGATTCCATTTCGAAGAGCAAATAACAGGGTCGACTCAGGCGTGTTTCGTTTCAGGTCATCATCAGAGTTGTAGATGTTGGACTGTTCGAAGAAAGACATGCAGATACATCAGTATAGCGTCTTGTAGCGCATATAGTCACTGTAGATCCAAGGATAAACCGGGGCACAATCAAAGCAACCGAACGTGTAAATTGATTGCGCACTGGCAATCCTTGTGGTCCACGTGAACCACATTTTCCGGAAACACATCGGACATGAAGTGGGCAGGGTTTTACTGACAAACGTGGCTCCTCCTAAGATTATCGGCGAGAGTCCGAGTGGAGGCTCGCTAGCCTAGAAGGACGCACGAATATCACCATCAATACCTTGCAGTGATCACAGATTGAGCGAATAGATGGTAGACTCACTTTTGATAGCTTGCTTGAGTCTTGAGTGGTCATTAAGGCGTTGACCGACTTGATAAATTGTGGTCAACTGGTTTGCGGAGGTCACCCCTGTCGACTGCCAACTGGCTATTCAATAGCCCTCGTACACCGAGTACGAAGGCTATACAAGGTCATCTGAGATGACCCTCGCCGTCCCTCGCCCCGCTGGCTGAGGATTACATAATCAGCTCGTCCGAACTCGCAAGCAAAGGTCCATTGGCTTCAATCGCTGCGCAACCACTGGGGATCGCAGCATTGCACAGCTGCTGTCATCGGCATAGGGTTGGCGGCGCCAGTCACGGGGCGCGCCCTGGGCGCTGTCGCACCCCGAGGCGACGGGGTGCGACGGGGGGGCGCGCCTGAATGCCCAAAAACCCCCCCAGGCGCGCCCTCCCAGCAGTACTATGGGCCTAGGGCCCAGGGACCAAAACCCTGAGTAAGTAGCCCAGCCAGCTGAAGATATTGATGGTGGCTGAGACCCTATGGATGTTTGGCTCCCCATTGATTGAGACTGATAATGTTTTTTGTGCCTTATTGACAAGGAATTTAAGAAAAAAAAAAACCCCAAAAAACAGGAAAGATCCTTATTCCGCCATATTTAGTCCCAAAAAACCAAACAGCGGCGCCCTGGTGCCCCCACCAGCTGGAGGGCTTGCAAAAGGCGCGCCTTGGCGCCCCCAGCTCAACAGTGGCGCCGCCAACCCTACATCGGCATCATCGGTCCCGAATCCCACCCATGCAGCCTCGTACCTCAAAAGATGCTCGCGGACAACCAATCCAAATCGAGGTTCTCATTCCGATTGGACACTCGCATACCGGAGAAGGAGGCATTGTAAAGGAAGGTCTTTTAGATGGCGGTGTTGGTGAAGAAGACAAAGAGCTTCTGGTGCAGGCTGTTTTCTAATGATCAGGTAAGCGTAAAATGGTGTCAATCGTTGGCTATACCCCCTGCTATCAAGGTTATAAAAGGAACTTTCCAGGCAGTTTTTTGTGAATTTCAAGATAAAAAAAGCAAAGTGTTGAAGATGGAAAGAGGTGAAAAATAATAGGAAACAGATGCAAGAATAAGACAGTATAGCTTCATGAGAGTGTTTAAGGTTTGAAATTTCAAGGAAACCAAAAGAGGTCTGAGGGAGAATGGGTTAGTAAGTAATGTGTAAAAGAATTTGAGTCCTCCCCCAACTTGAAAATTGAAGGAGAGTTGTTTTGGAATTTGGGTCAAGCATCTCTCACAATTCAAATTTGTATCCTAATGATGTTTCATTCTCTGAACATATGTTATGATTTGTACAGTTCTTACTTGCCTTTCCCATTGAGCATGGAATTTCATTTATTCTACATATTTCCAATGCCTTGAGTGTCAAATTGATAAAGTGTAAGATAAATGCCGATAAATGATAGAGACTGAGTTCAGAGTTCCTATGTAATCATGTTACAAAGCCACATTTTCAAAGGAAATTGAATTCATGCAAACATCTAGTTATTTGTTCAAAAATAATATCACTTAATCTGGGCTGTCCAAATAGGGCCTTGGTTTTGATATGGGTAAGCTGATTATTGAATGTGGGGCAACTCAGTTTTTGTTTTATATGATTTATAATACTTAAACAAACCCAGAGTTTTTGTTATATATTGTTCTATAATAATCCAACTGCTTGATGTATTACAAATATTTCACTTAGTAAGTAATAGACATTATTGGTCAATTTGAAGCAATTTGAAACACATCACATAACTACATACATCATTTCCAAAATGATTAATGTGTTCTTCATTAGCATTGAATGTCTTTTTAACAATGTTCTTCAAATTCCTTTGTAGAAATTTTCACTTTCAATCTTGGTCAAGATTGAATGTTGCTGGTCAAGATTAAGTGTTGATTGAATGTTACCAAATTTAAAATGTCTTTTTATCAGTATTCTACTTGCAATCTCGATTACAATCTAATTTTTTGAACTTTCAATTTTTCTTATAAATATCCAACTTCACCTATTTTGATTTAGCAATGTTAAACTTGAAATATTGATCAAGATCAAATTATAAAAACTTGAAGCAAGTTGACATGCAAAAGAAATAAAATCTCATGATATCCAAACTGATCACCCAAAGACATCTGAAACTTTTTCTCTCTTTGTTGGTCTTTGGGTTAGTGTTCAACATGCATCTTCATCAGTGTGAATTTCTTTCACCTGTTTCCAATTTGAATCTTCACTAACATTAAATCTATTTTAGCAATTTTCAACTTGATGATTAAGATCAAATTTTCACACTTGTTTGTCCTCTTCCTCATTCATTAATTTTAGAAGGGACAAAACAATAAACCTCACTTTATTTAAAAACTCCTCTTGGAATTCAAATATAGCAAGACATTATTGTTTAAATTCAAATTCTCCTCTCAAATAAGCATATTTCTGTCTGGAATCAGGATTCTTAACTTCTCAAAAATATATCAATGGCTGGGTGTGGACACCTTGGACTAGAGTAAATACCTTCTATGAGTTGTAGCCACTGGTCCATACCAGTAAACTTCCATTGAGCTGATTCTAGCTTCTGCAGAGTAGCCCACAGCTGAAATAAGTGGACCTCCACATCATCAACCTGAATCTCCTTCTGAATCTCATTCAATCATTGCTTTTGCTTCCATCACAAAAAACAACCAGGCACTTCCAAGAGAAGAAGACATTAACTGTACAGTTCAGAGATACTTTTGAGTTTTGACCTGAGTCTCTTGAAGCCACTGATCAACTCACCTTCATCAATTTGATTTGTCAGCCCAGTAATTCCATCAGGTATCAACACCAGGAAGAGAATCACGTCTCAGGGGGGGAAATTTGATGTACACATTTGGCCTCAAAGTTGTTTTCCTTTATCTGTATTTCATTCTCCTATTGTCTGCCTATTTATTTGGGCTTTTTTCTCTAGCTCAAGTTACAGCTTTAGTCATTGTTTACTATGTTTACTAGATTCTGTCTGGTCCAGTCTTTCACTTCAGCAGGTAAAATCTCATCATTATTTCTATAACTTTTAATGTCTTTTGTTGACTTTTATTGGTTTGTAATTAGTGTTACTACTACTGATGTTGAAAGATTTATGCATGATCTGATCTCATCTCCCATACTAGTCACAATTAGATGATACTCATTATCTGGGTAAGTGGTTACCTATCTGAGGTTTTGTCAAGGATCAATTGTTTTCCTTCATTGTCATGGAGTTTACCAGACCATGACACTCTCTCTGTGAGATTGACTTTTCTGAACAGCCATTGTTGCAAGTACACTCTCCAGAAGGGCCATTCAGAACAGCGGTTGAAGAATGTACCCTTGGCCTCAGCGATGCCATTCAGAACAGCCGTTGAGGAGCGTAGCCTCGGCCTCACTGATGTTGTTCAGAGCAGTTGTTGAGGAGTGCCCCCTCGGCCTCAGTGATGCCGATCTGAACGGTCATCGAGGAGACTGCACTCTCAACGATGGCCGTTCAGAACGGCCATCAAGCACAAGAGGGCTTGGGGCAGGTACCCTGTATGCCGGAGCGGTACCCGGTTACAGGCGAATCTCTGCCAATGGACCTTTGCTTGCGAGTTCGGACGAGCTGATTATGTAATCCTCAGCCAGCGGGGCGAGGGACGGCGAGGGTCATCTCAGATGACCTTGTATAGCCTTCGTACTCGGTGTACGAGGGCTATTGAATAGCCAGTTGGCAGTCGACAGGGGTGTACTATTCACGCTCTGACAATTCCGGCCTGTTTACCCCGCGTGAGACATTTCCGATACGCACTTCCCATCCATCCTATCAGTGCGGGTGCCAGTACCATCATGCCAACAAGCAACCTGCCACAGATCCAGCGAAGGCCAGCCTCTGCCTATCTCAAACTCTTATCAGTCTGACTGCTAAGGAAACGAAACGGTTTACTTTATCCGGCTGGTCTTTGAGCTCACCTCGTTCATCAAAGACATCCAGTGTAACACTAGAGACGAATTGGGCACTGGCAGCTTGGATTCCTGTCCCTTCAATATACATTTAAAAACCATGCCACATGAGTGTGCATAACCAACGCTTGCAGATACACTGGGTCCTCTGCATTGGTTGAGTTGCGATTTTGGTAAACAAGCGTCTTGAATAAGATACACAGAAAATACAATCATAATATCAGTCCAGTTTGCTTGAGCAAGCTCATGAGCTCTTAAGTACTTGCTAATCAATCTGTCAAGTGATCTTAGTCTCAATTCCAGTCGAATAGAAAGCTTGAGAAATTGATTGACTATATTCCCATTTCCATTTTATATTGAATTAGAGCTTAACCAAAGATTGTAGTAGCAAAGTAGGATTGTTCTCTCAACTC